TAGAACTTTTTGCGTTAAATCCAATAAACTAGCACTCGTTGTCATAATCAACTTGATTTACGAGATAAAAAATAAACTTATGTTTTTTAAATGATAATCATAGTTGGCTGTGAGCTCTTTAAAATCCTTATTTTTTCTAATTTAACGATATATTTGTTAAACTCTCTCTAATCTCTCGCTCTGCCGACTGATCCTCTCTCACTTAGTCGACTCGAGCCGACTTTACCCGAAGGAGCGTTCCATAGCCGAGCATAATGGCCCAGTCTTCTACAACAGCCACAAAAAAGTGTTAAACGCGTCTAATAAAGTTTTCAGTTTTTTTGATTCTATGATTTGTAAATATGGCTTTCGTGAATATCATTTCTAGTATGCATAGTCGAATGATAAACAATTGATATTGTGCAACTATCAAGAAAGATCGTTAAACATTAGTCACGAAAGAGCGTGCGAACATTATGAAGAAACGGCTTTTTGAAGGAATTAGAATCACGTTTTGCCCACTTGACAAGCTGTTCAGGGAGTAAATGTATTTGGAAAATGGCAAGTCACGTTCTGTTTCATTAAGGGGTTTATAAAAAGTTTTGCTGATAATCAGATCAGTTATTTATTGTATTAATCCATCTACACATGCTTGTGTGATATTGTAAGTGTTCAAATAAATTGTATACATCTATCTATTTTACCCCCGCGCAAGCAAACATTGTTATCTTCTTCCCTCTGAATTTAATATTTATCGGTTCTTAATTTTTTATTAGCAATTAGCAAATATAAATTTCTGAATACGCAAAATGCAGCTATTTTGCTTTTGGTACTCCATCCGGTATATATACTGCGTCGTATGTACCAGCCAATATTCACAGAAAAGACGATGTATCTAATTTCGATGTCATTTTTGAATATAATTCTTGAATATAGTAGTAAGCATTTTAACACTTTGATGCACTTATTATCGCAGGAAGGATATTTGGGGATAATTTTCGGAGCATATTTTATGCGAAACGTTTTTTTAGACATTTTACTTTGAAAAGTTTCTCCAATAGTGGTTCACTTGTAGGCATTTTTCTTAAATATCGCTGCAGTAGTTGGTTTTATTAAGATATCAAAGTCTGTAACATTGCTATATTTTCTTGTTGTTCTTGGGCTTGTTTCTTATTTCTTCATGTTGTGTTAACTCTTCCTTTTTCTATAAATGAGACAACTTTATTACCAGTTAAATGCTATTGCAAATAGGGCATTATTAATTATTTCTTATTATCTGCATGCGCTAATGCAATTACAAAGGCCGCGCATGAACTGAAATAAAAATTGCCCATCTTTCAGGCAATTCAAAGCCAGAAGGAATTTCAGTATAGCTCGAGCTAAAAGGTTCACACAAATATGGAAATGGATTTTTAGATTTTTACTTCATTCATCACAGCCAGCTTTCCTTTATTGTTTATGCCGTTTCCTATTTAGCTAGACGGAAATGAGGTGAAAATGGGGCGATGTTCTGAAAGGTGTGCACCGGAATATTTCAACTTCTAATTAGAAAGCGTTTCTTTTTAAAATAAAAATCATTGTTTATGACAACTTCTTTATGCTTTGCTCTATTAATTTTAATGGTTTTACTTATGCAAACGCGAGGCAACGAACATAAAAAAATTTAAAAAAATTCCAAGGTAATTATGGAATTGCGGACTGAAAGTATAGCAATTTAAAGAATACAATTTTATTTTTGCTGTTTTAAAAATACTTTGGGCAACGGGTATTTGAATCATTATTGGAATATTTCAAATAAAATGTAAACACCTAAAGTAGACAAATGAACCATATACAGAGCGATTAAAATTTAGCGTTATTCCAGTTAAGAGGTTATAAGAGCCACTTGGAGGATGCGAAAAAATATTGTAAAGCAATTTTTCCAAAATTTCTAGAAGATCTTCTGCTTCTTCTTCTTCCATTGTTGGCCAGAATCCACGAATTTAAACAAAAGAGATTGAAGCGGAAGCCATGTTATGCTAAAAAAACACAAATTTTATCTGTAAAAATTATCAGTATGGCTTCATGTGCAGGATGTAAACTTTGGGACTGTACATCCAGGGGATTATGAGCTGCATGTGAATTTTTTACATTGTTCCAAATCAAATTCCCACAATACATCTAATTGTCTTATAAAATATTATGGACCGATGAAACTCGACTTACAGGTTGTGGTATATTTACTTGTCACGGCTTAATGTGCAATGGTTTCAACATGATGGCGTTTCTCCGCAATTTTTTTCCAAGTTCAGAATCGCCTGGACGAAAACGTTCCTGACGCATGGATTGGAAGAATCGGTCCTATTTTATGACCTCCCGATCACCATATATTTCAGTTATCGATTTAGTTTTGTGGGGAGATGTAAGGAACAGTGCATAAAAATAAACATGGCAATTTAAATGAACTTAAAGACGGTGTGAGAGGATTGAAGAATATTGATGGTCGGTCTCACAGGTCGGTCTGTTAGAAAAGAAATTTATTCAGTTTTCAAGCGTTGTAATTTATACTAACAGTGCAATTTTTGAAAATTGCAATAAAATTATAGCTTCTAGAGTTCAATTTTAATTATTGCTAGTGCGTTTTAATTTTTACAATAAATTTTAAGGCTTTAAGGGCGGGTATTATAATGTACGGTTAACCAACGGTTGAGATTCAACCCACAGTTGGAGGCTTGTTTGGGTATTATAAACGCTAACCAGCGCTTGAAATTAGGTGGTCAGTGACGGTTGACTTAACCCGAAGATGGGGTCGTTTCAGACTTCAACCGAGAGTTCGAAGCAGGTAGAAGCGTGGTTCAACCCACGACCAAACAATTTTTACCAGCAGCAAATTGCAAAATCGATTCGAAAGGAGATAATTTGGCAACTTCGTACTTCTTGGAGATTCTGGATATGCTTTAAAAAGTTTTATATTCATATTAATTACAAATCCACAGAGAAAAAGTAATAGTGCTTTAAATAGCAATAATAGTGCTATGAGTAACAATCATGGAGAACATTTTATACTCTATTTTATGAATTTAGTTGAGAACCAAGGAGAATCTGATTTAGGTAAATCATTAGGATGTTAAAATTAGGATGTATTATCCTGGATCACAAGTGCCAATCTCGGAACTGACAAAAAAGCAATGATTTTGATTGGCTGATGCGGTTTACGAAATGTGGAAACTTTAGATTGTACAAGTCAACTTCCGGTTGATAAACCTGAGGCTCAGTAGCTTTTAGTAGTAATAAAGTCAACCGCCGGTTGAAAGTGAATCGACGCTTGGTCAGCCGTAGGTTCAAGCCGGCCTTTATAATACCCGCCCTAAATGGTTATTACCGGAAGGTTCTAAGGCACTGTCTATGTAAATCACTCTGTATATGTAGAGTTTTATTTTTGCAGAACAGTGGAGTTATTCCATCAGTGTTTATTTCGTCATTTCTTCGGCCCAAAAATATTATGACGATCTGAAAGCTGAGCATATAACGATCACTTTATATGTATGAGAAGTTTCGAATGGAAAACACAAAAAATCTATGGGATACAGTGCCGCAGTTTTATTGCCAGCTAGATTGAAAAGCCAAATCGCACCTGAGCTTCCCAAGAGAATTTAATACATATTTGGATGGTTTTATGGGTTCAATCTTCTTGTTTAATTATGTTTAGAAGAACAAACTTTTATAAAAAAAACAAAAACTTTTTACCACTTTACTCAGTGTTAAGGTCTGCTCTTTTAATAGAAACTTGTGTGTGATTTTTAATGGAAAATCCTATTAATAATGCAGTAATCAAAAAAATTAAGTACATAGTTCAAAGACTAATTTTCCACAAACGTTGGAGGACGTTTTCCTGCCTCTCTTCTTTGAAGAGGCTCTAAATCTGTCAAATCTTTGATGATTTACGTAGAGCGTTTATTAAAAGTTTTCCAACTTGCAGTTCTTTCACAAGATTCCCATTTTGTTTACGGTCATAACGAGTCGTGCCGATATTATGTAAAATAGACTTATGCCTTCAGATATACAGCATGTGTAAGAAGTATAACCTAACTTTCGTATTTTAAAAACAAACTCTTATTTTTTTGCATAGTTGGAATTGACCTTTGCTATTTTTGGCAACCCTAATTTTGTTAGCTTAGGTATTAAGCTTACGCTTAACTTTCGCTTGTTTCATTAATGTTTATCATGAGGCCTATTTGTTTGCTCGCCTCTTTAACAACACTTTAATAGGGTTTGCACATTTTATAGCTGCTATTGATATTTTATAGCTGCTATTGCATTATGTTCTGAGAACAATTATTTAACCTGACATTTTGACTAAACTTGTTTAACAAAAATGCAGATTTCTTTCGGCAATTTTAACGTTATTTGGTGCAATAAAAAGCTTTAAAAAACTATAATAAGTAATGGGTCGCGATTTAAAAGTTTAGAGTTGGGTTGGCTAGGAATTATAATGTTTTCGTGGGTAGTTTATTTAGCTCGTTCATACGAGAAGAGTTCATAAGAAACGTTGACGACAACCTTTTTATACCTTTTTGTTCTGCAGATACAGCCATTGCAAATTTTCAAATTGTCACCCTGTACACATTGTTTTCACGTTTACAGTTAAAGTTTTGCAGAAATTACTGGTTTTTATGAGACGTATTTCTGTGGCGTTTTTTTTCTATTGTTTAAATCCTGCTAGACAATGCAGACAATACTTGTAGAGAAATATCATGAATTTTAAATTACTGTTTACATATTACTTCTTTATCTTTACGTACAAAAGTCTGCCTGCCTCTAAACCCAAGATTTTTTACTTTGTCATTGTGGTCAAAATTAAACCTTTTATGAGGCAACCAATTTTATTTTTTCATCAGTTAAGACTTTCTTTAACATTAACAGTAATTGCAAAGTAAATAATTATATGATGATATCTTTAAACTGGTGCTTATAATGTTTTATGTTTAAACTGTAGATATTACAAATCTACATATCTCCTAGTTCAAAATAACGTTTTTCAGATAATGGCAAGCACCAGTCTCAAATCTACTACCGCGAGAGTTGATCTTCATTCCAAAGGATAGCATTTGCATATAGAAGAGGTAAACCGGCAAACAATGTTAAGTAGAAGTACCTCGTCCAGAAGGCGGCGCGCTTCCAGATCAGCAGCATCTTCGCCTGCTCAAGCTAATCGAGCATCTGGTACAAGGTCAGCGGCGACAAGCCCAGGTAAGAATAATATTATTGAAATTACTCTTAGTGCGAATATTTGTTTGATGTACGTAGAATACTATTCTGGTAAAGGGTCTAGTTCCTAAACTTACATAAATTAGAAACGCTACTACAAGCTATACTCGACAGGAAAAGAGAAAGCTGAAGGGAAATTTCGAACATAGCTTTTGCTTCCATATTCACTGGACTAATTTTTTTTCTCCTATACATGCAATACTGGTTTCCGATTAATTAACGCCTAACTAATTTATTTTACAGGTCGTCGAGCTAGCATTGCTGTTTCACCAGTAGATGGTCATCGGCAAAACGGACTGGGTTTATCAGAAATTAACCGAAGCCCTAGGCATTCCATTATTTCGGCTGTAGCTCTGATGCAAACCAAGGATGAGATGTGTGAGGATAGTTTCGAAGAAAGCGTCAATAAGTAAGCATAGTTAATGTTCTCCGTATTTAATTTTATTTATTTCATTTCTGTTTTCACACTTAACATACTATGATATTTTTCAGCTTTTAATTGATATTCACTTCATATTCCGATTCTTATCTAAATATTTAAGTGATATTATATCAGGGTATGTGAAAGCTTGATGTCTTTTTCCAGATCTCCTCGCCACTCTCTGTATCCCGAAAGCGCGTTAAGTCCTCGGAATAGTTTAATGTCCGACTGCCAACGCTCACCAAGACACAGTTTGGTTCCCAGCGATCACAGAAGTCCCAGAAATAGCCTAGTTCCGGACTCTGCCTTATCTCCTAGAAATTTCGCAACGCCTGATCAGCATAATAGGTAATGAATCATTTAAATGTGGTATCATTTTGTTAAAAAAAAAACTTCTGTAATTTCAGGAGTCCTAGAAACAGCTTAGTTCCTGATCAAGTCCGTTCGCCCAGGCACAGCCTCACTCCGGAATCTAGTACTTATGGGTCGCGATTGAACATATCCGAGCACAACCGCAGTCCCAGAAATAGTTTACTACCTGATGGTACGCGATGCCCTAGACAAATTGTGGTATCTTTGGATGGGAAACCATGGAATACTGATGAAGGTAATGATTTAGTTCAATGTTGTCTATACTGCATATAATGCATATGCTGTTGTTTACTGAAATTGTCACTGAGATCACGTTTACGACCACTACTGTAAGTGGTAGAAAACACTCTATCTAGCGTTTGAATCAACATTGGAAGTTGCTTATGTCAATTTTACCGATTTATGTATTGTTAGCTTACTTCCAAGAATTGTCATTCCTAAGATAAAACTTTCCTCGCTCTTGTCTTTTTATTCTATGTTAGGAACAATAATTAACATGCATCACAATAAAAGCATTGCAACTTGTTTCAAATTTCTAACCCTACTGAAAAGAAAGTCCGATGGTTTTAAAAGCACAAAGTCCAAATTTTGACTACAACTAACAACATTAAATATAACTTAAAATAATATTTGTTTTTATTCGCATTAATCCAAAACTGCCATTTTCCGTGCAGAAATAATGATCATAAAGAATAGCATTCATTTGTTTTACTTTTACGCATGGACTTTTACGCACCCTAATTTTGTTCTGCGCAAATAGTATACATATTACGTATACAGTGGCGGGCCTTCGACTTTCGTCGCACGTACCGTAAGCTATTTTTCTTGATCCTCGGTGGAAACTAGCCGTTAAGTGGGAACAAGTGTAAAAGGAAAATTGTAAAGTTTTGAAAAGAACGGCTATGAAAATGTTGTCAAAATAGTCAGTGACAAACAGTCAAGCTGTCAGCATGCGTGGCGAAAGTTATAACTTTCCAAACGGTATAAAGAAAATTTAATTGAATAATTGACGGAAAAGTAAATTGTCATTGTCATGTCGTTGTAATGAGTAAAAGTGATTTTTTCGCTATCTAAAACAGTCGCGGAACTGTGTACTTTCCACCAGGAAATCAAGCAAAGTAAATATGATAAATTTGGCTCGTCACTGTCATTATCCAGGGTGTCCCGTAATACAATCAAAAGGATACTGCGATATTATTTGCATCAAAAGAAGACGATCTGACCTAACTCTTATCTTAAGAAAAAATGTCTGGCTTCTCTGCTATTGATGGTCAAAGTTCTTCAAAAATTGATCTTTTTTGAATTATTGCGAGAATGGTACGATGTATTTTAATGACACTCGCAGTGAATTTGTTCTTATGTAAGACTCATATTTTGATGAAACAAACGAGTTTATCCGTTTTTAACAAGTGGTGAAATCTTGAATTTCGTTGTACAAAAACTACCAGAACTTTTTAATTTGGTGGTTGAAATCAACTAATTTTTTTTGGTTGATGCACTAATCAATTATTCACATATTTGTGCTCTTTATAAAATCTTGTAGCTTCAATAGTTTTTGCTACAAAAAGATTTCTGTTTTCTTGCTACTTAAAAATGTTAGACATTAACTGCAAATATCGTGATACCAGGCATAAATTAATTGGCAATCAATCTCACAAATTCGTTTCCAATCTTTTCTAATGAAGAAGTGACCGACATGGTCAAAGTATTAGGGTTTTGTGAAGACAACCTGCGTGAAAGAATACGCGTTTACGCGGCGCATATTTCCACTTAATATCTAACATTCTTATGTCGCAAGAAAACCGACATATTTTTCTTGCGCAAAAACTATGAATGCTACAAAATTTTACAAAGAGGACAAAATTGTGAATAAATCATTAGTGCAACATAAAAAAAAGAGTTGATTCTATCCGCCAAATAAAAAGTTCTGGTAGTTTTTGTACCACGATGCTCAAAAATTCACCACCACGGCTGAACTCGATTGTTTCATCGAAATGAGTGAGTCTTACATAAGAACAAAATCACAGCGAGTTCCACCAAAATACATCATATCATTCTCCCGATATTAAAAAACAATGTTTTTGAAGAACTTTGATTATTAATAGCTGAGGCGCCAGACATTTTTTGTTAATAAATGTTAGACCAGTCGTCTTCTTTTGATCCAAAGAATATCGCAGTACTGACAATAAGCAGAGTGCTGCTTCACATGTTTTTGTGGCTGGCAATTCACCTGAATTCCGGACATGTCCATAACCGGTAAGCAAACCCGCTTATTGTCGAGGATTATTTTTACCTTAACGCGTCTCAAACGATTTGATTGGGCCATGCAGCTATCCAGAATCCCAGATGACGATCAAGGTGGTTATGCAAGGGTTTACAGGGGTGCGGACTCAACGCCTTGAAATTTTTAATTAGTCCCCGTTCTCTTGAAAGTCTTTCCTATGCGCACATTAAAAGAGTTCTTATTGAAAACTTTGATCGCTCTACGAATAAATACACTGAAAGTATTAAATTTAGGCAAATTACCCAGCAAGAAAACGAGACAGTCGCTAAGTTTGTGCTCCGTTTAAGAATTTTCGCGACCCACTGTGAATACGGGCCATTTCTATAAAGAATGATTCTGATTCTTTGACTTCGATGTTGTATGTACAATGCGCGACGAGATTCGAAAGTCAATGTTTTTGTTTGAACAAATATTGTAAAACATGTCGGAAAAAGGCCCCCTTAGTCGCATCTGACCAAACGACTAATTGAAAAATGGTTAATATAGCAATTGCATATAATAGTTTAAGGGTCCAAGAAGGCGTAAAAGTGCGCGCGCAAGCAAGTATTCATAACTTTGAGCCTGGCACAAAACTAAAATGGGTCGTTTTTTAGGTATGTTATTTAACAATTGAATTATGCAAAATTCGTCCTATCTTAATCGACCTTGCCGATCATGTTTTGTATTGCAGTTGCAGTCAAGTATGCATGTCTAAATGTATGGCGTGATCGGGTTATTCTTTCATTGTTAAATAAATAATTTAAAATTACCTACCTTGTTTTTTTATCTACTTTTTTGCACTTTCGAGCGTTCTAAAGCCACAAAATTTCATAACGAACAAATTAATAAGTATATATTTTTCTTTATGCATTATACAAAATGCACTCGTACTGAGTTATATGCGATTGTTTCCAGGAAAAACGCGATTTTCGCAGTTTTTTTCACTTTTTTGTTGTCTATGCAAATAGCACATCTTTTCAAGCTGGCGCACATCGATATTTTCAATAAGCCCGTTCCCGAGCGATTTCAGTAGTTATCAAAGTTAT